CATAATCCCAGTTCACTAGGTCTAGACGGGAATGTCATTTTGAGAGACGAGAGGAGTGTGCTTTTCGCGATTCAAGAGAAAAAAGAGAAGCGTTTTATTTTCACACCAGCCTTTATGACTTAAGCCGGACACAGGGTGCCGAAGAATGAGACACAATGTGGGTGGGGATGAGGGAAAGGATAATTGAGTCATGAGTTTTTAGCCTAGGGAGAGGAATATTCCAAGGCACTGACATGTGCATCATCTACTCAAACTCCTCCAATGTGGCGTAATCGAGGACGGGAATAAAAGGTCCTTATGCAGCTAGATTTCAGACAGCCAAACAGTGATTTTGATTGAAGGTATGAAAACCAGGATGGTGTGGCCTTTTGTATTGTCGCGGTTTCATTTCGCTAACCTTGGTTTGGCAACTTAGTCATATTTACAGGAAGGCGGTCCGACTCTGGAAATGATCATGCATACTATGGACTCCGGACAATGTGCGTTCCTTTAGGTCTTACTGATAATATGACCAATTTGTGAAACCAAGGTCAAACAACTTTAATTCCGTGATCTTGATGTTTAGCAGTGGCCCTGCAAACGGCATCTGGTATCGGTGGTGGAGATGATTACGCTTCACTAAACCCATATTTAGCGATACACTCTTAGGCGACATTGAAGGAGATGAGAGCACAGAATAGTATGAATAAGTGGATGGGCCATGTGAATTGGGGTTAATAGAAAGAGATGTGGCACTAGATGGCAGAACCAAAAATTGGGGCGAGGACTAATACCACAACTGTTGAACAGAACATAGGCTAAGGCGATTGCCTTCATTTGTCACTGATAGTTTGTAGCTATGTCTTTACAATGGCGCCTTTCACTGACGATGCCGTCGAAACGTTTGGGAATGTACCCAGCCAATGGTCTGATGCTGGAAATCACGAATAGTATGGCAGAGGACACGGTACTAGGTACGTTCACAAGACCGAATCAATACTATAAAGCTAGAGACTGCGACCAAACAGAAGATCATACCATCTTACCCTTCATATCTACGATATAATTTGAAGTTTATATCCGAATTTTCAGAGGTTAAGTCACTAGGGTACCCTTTTGCCCTGTCTTAACGACAACCTATTTTAATACACCAATCAACTCCCATTACTCTTCGCTTCACCTCTGTAATAAATCCTCATTAGGGATATTTTGTATAGTTTGTATAGTATATAGCTTCGACTTCAACAGTCGTCATATATTGTATGGGTGGCCTTTGGGGCAATAATACATACTTCTAGACTACATGCTCTTATGACAGAGTTATGGAGTAGACAAGGCTAGTTAGGTCATACATCTATTCATTGCTTCCCCTTTCTTTTCGTTTCTACTTTATTTATTTATCCTTTCACAATTTCTCTTCATTCTATGGATTTAGATTGATTTTGCACGAACTTCTCATCTATGCATATGAACAACGATTGCACCTCGACATCTACGCGGCTACTGAAGCCTCCCTCGAGTGAGTTATTAATTTTCAAACTTTATTTCTACTCCCTCCATAATGCCTTTTCTGATTAACACCTATTGTCTAAATTTCATACATTTTACTTAGTTTCTTCCAAATTCATTCATCTTTCCTACACTCATAAGTGCATATTTGATGTCTATATGCCCATATCCATTTTTCATTTGCTCCCCGCTTACGCCTATTTAATTACAGATATGAACTTGATCTCCAAGAAGGTGGTCTGCTAATCACGTTTACTGGCCTCAAGGATAAGTTGTTCGTAAGTATGTTTAACATGGATTCCCTTTGTCTCTTAAATACCAAATTAAACTTTTTTTATCCTTCAGTTAATGTATTCCATAATCTGTGACTTGATCCGTGAGGAGCCCAAATTTTTGACCGAATCTATGCTCGCCGGTTACAAAGAATTTTTCCGCCAATCTATCACAAACAAGGCTACTAAACCTGAACATCTTTCCAAGTAATTTTTTTATCCTACTTTTTTATGTGTCAATAACTGATATTAGATAGACTTTTTCCATTTTACATAATTTTCTATATCTCATTCACATCAGTCAAGGTTTCGTCACCTTATCACTTAATCAATTATTAGTCATTTAATATGGCTTAGGCTTAGATGCACATTTATTTTCACCAAGCCTAGCTGATTTGTGATTTTATTTTGCTAACTCAAGTTATAAGAATGCAAATGATGATTATTTTGACCTTCTAAAATTTTA